TGGGTGGGTTACTAGGTGTGCAACTGGCCAACTGAGCACTAATTTGATCTACATTTTAAATAACATATAGATGTATACAATTTTTTATTAAGTGAAAAACCTGATGGTTGTAGGGTGGTTGTCAAATTGTATAGTTTGCCTCTGCAGGTCTGAAAAATGTTCTGCACGCCACTGATATATATATTGTATTTAATAATATACCTATTATTATATTATAATTCAGGTCATTATTAAACGAAATAGCAAAATTACTTTTTCGTAGATACTCTACTGCCAGAAACTAATGACTTGTCTTCGCTTTCTTCACTGTTGATAATAAATTAAAACTGCATAATATTAATGATCATAATCGCACCTATATATATATAATATATAATACGGCTTACTCTTTAGCAGTTGCATTTTTTTGGTCTTCTGGAAATTGCACTTTGTCTGTGCTCGTTTTGTACAATTTGGATTGAATACCCGCTAGTGATCTTTCCCAATCAATGTTCGTGGCGTGTGGACCATTTTTAGGGACTATTATTTGTGATGATTGAGTCCAATTATACATTGGTTCGTCCGAAAAAGCGTAATAACACTGGACTCCAACGTTCGGTATAATTTGATATGAAGCATATTGGCATTTGTCGTTGGACATCGCTGTGCTAATTGTCGGATAAGTAAACTTCAAATCTTTTTCGTTATCTCCGATACATGTCGCAGTGCTTTCTTTCTTTAAGAATTTCCTCGCCATTTCGATTACCTATAGACATTTCATATTTTGAATATAAAGTATACGCCTTACGATTCATTTACGCATATTTTACTCCATTTTCCAAGGGATCAATTGTTTTGGGAGGAGGGTCTTTAAATGGACATATTGGTTCTGTATATTGCAATGCCAGCGTCATAAGTTTTATATATTCATTTCGTACAATTTTATTATTATTTTGTTCCAACGCTTTCAACCAGCTTGCTAATACACTAGCATCTATAATAATATAATTTTAAAATCGAGTTTGTAGAAACATTTTGCGTACTATCAATTATTTGTAAAAGTTATTACGGTTACGGAGTATAGTAATAACGACTTAGTATAAGGTATAACGGATATCAAATTTTGATATTGAAATATGATTAGCCTCCTACCCTACCATTGAATAATCACGATTCACGGGTACATTGTACATCACTGCATTATAGGAATTGTGTTGAAATTATTTAACATTAAAAAACCTATATATATATATATATATATACTAATAAACTGAGAGTTTAAACCTAAACAATTAAGTTTATTAATTAGGTATTATAGGTATTACTTATTACTTGTGATTAGCCGATTAGCATAGGCGCCCGCAGAAATTTTTCTAGRGAGGGATTTGTTAGGATTTCAGGATAAATATTATAATTTTACTAGGTGTTTTAAAATAATAACCTTTTTTATTATACTCGTATTCAATATATTATATTTTATAATATCACAACTTATTTTATACTTTAAATTTGTTGTATAGTATATAGTAATTTATCCTAAAACATTCAATTAAAAAAAATATTTTGAAAAAGCCAGGGGGGGCAAATGCCCAAGCTTGTCGGGCGCCTATGCCGATTAGGTACTTTAAATATGATATTTGTATAAAAATATATGTATAAATTTTGAGGCATACAAAATGATCAAAAGAAAATATTAATGTACCTGCCCAACTTCATAAACACGTTCTAATAACCAACTCATTAAACATTTTTTYATTTAAGTTATAGTGTTAGGTATACCTACTAATAAATTAAAATATGAGTATTTATTTTAAGATGATAAGCTTATCGTCACATTTAAGACWATAATTTCTTGAAAATATGACTAATATAATTATAGACCATAGTAGGTACCTACATTTATAACTACGTTAGTAAATACTTTTACAGTGCTGAACTAATAACCGATATATTACTACGTTTATATTATGACGTTAAAACGGCTTAAAATTAAATCGGTTTTAAATTCTTAAACTATACATATAATGTGAGATTTTTAACTTTTAGAATGGTTTACATTTTTTAAGGTATCATATCTACGCCTTTAATGATATCAAATTATATTACATTATTATATTATTCTTAATTATAATAAAAACATATAAAACGTTAATTTAGGAGAACGCCGTACCCGCATGTGCTGTCTCTTACACAATTATGTTTAACATAGCAACGTTTTAGTTCACCAGTTTAAATAACGTGTTGATAATTGATATTACTTTATTATATCAAATTTTTAGGTGAGAATATTGTCTGTGTTCTCTCGGTTGGTTTTTTACGGTATTTTTATTTTTAAGCGAATTATGAGTAGGTATGTATAATATATATATTTGAAAATGTTCACAATTCTATTAACAATAAAAATATCGTGAAAAAATCGATTGAGGAGATACTAATAATTTAATTTCCTAAAAGTTTGATAATAGAAAAAATCACTCTAATATTAAAATTAACAGTCCACAGCTCACTATTGGTACTGGTGAACGAAAATGTTATTATTTCGTACCTCATCGTAGGTACATGTGTAAGACTGAGACAATACTTACGGGTGCAACGTCCTCTTAAGCATTATGATAATATAATTTACCTCCGATATCATTACGTTTTAAAATTAATTGCTTAACTATATCGCAAAAAAAATTGAATGTAATGTCTTCATTATCCATTGAATTTGGGGGTATTGCAAATGTTTGATCTTTGGTTTCACCCTCGGCAGTCATATTTAATTTGTAACTTCCCAAATCCAAAAACAATCTAGTAGGTATTTTAAATTAATATCAAAAACTCAACATAACACAATTCATTTAGTACAAACATTTCATATAAAAAAGTTATTTAATGTTTTTATCAAAATATTTTGTTGCTAAGAGCGAAGTGCAAAAATAAATGACTAAAGCCACGTTTTACCTAACCCTCAACTTACATTACTATTTACTAATTATAAATTATGATATTATTATTATCATTACGCATATTAAAGTAATTTATTTTGGTATTAGTGATATATTAATACAGTAGGTACAATAGATTAATTTTTCCCGAAAAAATTGTATTTAAAAATGCCATTAGGGTGTTTAAATTTAGTAATAAATCTTTATAAGTAGGTACCTAWGTATACTTTTAAAGTTTCAAGTACTATTACGAGCTATGTTTTTAAATTACAAGATTATGATAACTAAAATTGTTATTATTCGATCAAATATCTTATTTAGTTTCAAATTCAAATTTCAAACACATGAAAAATTCAATTTGTTTTCCAGTTCAATTTTTTTTTAGAGGCGCTCATATAGGTAGGTACCTATATTATATATACATGGAATTTAAAATTGATGATGGAAATTGAAAATTCCTCTATTGTTTATTTATTGTTGCCATTTGTTACAGATTAAAATAGTATTAGTAGAAATTAGTATTTTATATATTATACAGGATGTAACAGCGATGGACCYGACTAAAAAAAAAATTATTATACTAATTCAACAAATGAGAAAAATTGTTAATATTATATGATAAGTAAATAATTTAAGAAATAAACTCTTATCAGCAATAATACTCAAAAACATATTTTTAAAAAAGTTATTACGTTCCAAATTAATTTAACCAAAAAAATATTGAATTTAAAAAAAATTCTAAAAAATAAACTACTTGACTTGATAAATCTTTTTACCATCAAAATTGTTCTTATAATCAGATTCATAAATAGGCTATTATTTTGAATTTATCCTAAAATTTTTTTAATTAAATTTAAATTTTTTTATTTTCAGTATTAAAAAACAAAAATAACAAAAATTAATGTACATGTAGTGCTAGGGTCACTTAATGAACAAAAAAAAATATAAATAAATAAAAACTATTAATTTGATCAAAAGTTATTCCAAAAGTCTGTTGTATCTGTTACATCTTAAATACATATATTATAATAGGTACATATACTATCTATATAAAAATGAATTTCTGTCTGTGTTTAACTGCTGAACCGATATGACGAAATTTGGTACAGAGATATATTAGACCTATGGACAAAAGATAGGCTGAATTAAAAAGTGATAGGCTTACCCCGGTAGGTACTCAATTAGACATTTTGAGATTTTATAGTTTTATACGATGGAAATTTTTGTTTATATAGATGGTTACTATTAGTTTCAATAATAATAATAATAATAATAATAATAATAATAGTAATAGTAATTAGTGCGAAAGAAATTATTGTCCCTCAATTTTTATTATTTGTTTCCATGACACGTGCTCTATGGTATTAAAAGTTTTTATTGATATTTTGTGTTTTTTTTTTTTTGTTATATAATAACGCCATTTCTATACAGTTATCCACTTATGCCTCCCAAAAGATCGATCGCTATAGTTTAAATAAGAAATAAGTAATTTGTTATTAGTTACCAATTTCAGAAATTGTTTCACCTTTACAAAGCTAAAAATGCGAGAAAATATTTAGATTCAATATTTTTTTTTTAGTCCTGTTTTTTATTTACGTAATAAACTGAATTTTAGAATTTAATTTCACAAATATTTTTATGATTTAGGAGACAATTATAAATTCATCAGATTTAATGATAATTATAAATAGTAAATGTTTATTTAAAATGTTGGTTATCTAATTGAAAATATATTTAAAAATTTTAATTTCAATCCAATATTTTATCAATCCAATGGAACAAGTCGAATTTACGAATTATCTAATAGGTTATTTTAGTACAGGTTTATTTGAATAGTTTCAATTTCAATTAGAAAAAGATAACAAATGTTTTTGTTTAAAAAAATGTCAATTCTACTMATTGTATTGTTCTAATTTGGAAGTTAAGTATCTATAGATCTATAGTTTTATATCTAGGATTTTATTATGAAATTGTATTAATAATTTAATATTTTATAAATATTTACTGTTATATATAATTTGATTCACGTTTAGCTCCGTTAGTTTAAAAATAGAAAAAAGAATATAAAATTTAAAGTTAGGAATATTATTTAGACAACCTCGTGGGCTTCGTACTATATTTTAATAATGAAGCGAGTTATAATTATTATAAAATCGTAAATATTTTGCATATATTCAAATACTTATAACTCGCTTCAAAATTAAAAAATAATAAAAAGCTTATKTGGTCATCTAAATAATATTCTTACATTTAAATTTAATAAGAGGTCAATTCACTCTAATTTTTAAACTAACGGAGCTAAAAGTCATCTGCTGAGCCGCTGAGCGTAAAGTTTGGTATGTTACACACTTTTAAAGACGAAGACAACAGATGCAAGTATCAGGTCTTCTTAAATCGAAATATGTTACAGGTATTAGGTACTAGGTAGTGATGTTGAGTTGTTTATTATACCTATTAYCTAGGTACTGAAATAAAGTTCCCGCTTATCGCTTATTATGAGTAGATTACCTACCTACTGCTACTTGCTAGTTATTTCATCCCAAAGTTTCCTAATTATGTCTCTATTGTGGTAATGTTTTGATTTTTTATTCCACAAGGCATTGCAGTCATAAACTAAACTAATTAATTTTTCTGAACCAATCATTCTGATTTAAAAATTATTAGTTTAAAAAGATATTTAATAGTCAATACAGTCTAATTTGATCAAATTTAAAATATTGAATATAATTAAAAACACAGGTCCAACCACTGCTATACCAGGTTTACGCAATTGCACAAAATGAACAAGGTACTGTAAATAACTTGCAAGAAAAAACATACAAAAATAATATTACAGTCCAAAACAATTCTATATAAATTATAAATAAATTATAAGTGGTAAAATATGGCCATTTTCGACAATATGATGAAAATAGTTCATGGCTTCATGCGTTTTGCATGCCGCGCCGGGCGGATGCGGCCGGAAAAAACAAAATATTTTGATTTTACCCGACGTCGGACGCATTCATCCGAATTATTTGGACCTAACTATTGAGTATCTTTTTAAACTAATAATTTTTAAATCAGATTGATTGATTCAGAAATCTGCAATCAAGCAATCTGGCTTTACATTTCTTTCGTCGGAGAAGGCATATGAATTTGTCCAAAAACATTCCAAATAGTGTTACATGTTTCATACATTATTCCACTGATCGTGTTATGTGTCATACGAAATGAAAATGCTAATGATCTATGAGGAGTTCCGCAGATA